CAAATTTCAATACAAGCTCATATGGATTTACATCATTTTATGTATTCCCAAGTGTTTTCTTCATTTCCACAATATATTTCTAACCATTAACTGGGTGGGAAATCTCTGAAAAACAAATTTTTGTTTGACAAAGTAAATTCTGAAAAGTTTTTAAATTTAATTTAATTTTTATTTTTTTGGTCACAGGAAGAAAGAAATCTTGCATCATAACCTTTCTTCCTGGAATAAACTGAAGTAGTCTCATCTATCAGGTTTTCCAGCTTCAAATCTCAGATATAACTAATCACTTTTTCCCTTCTTTCCTTTTCTAGTAAACTTCCAGAAACAAAACAGACAACATTTCATGATGATAAATATCACAGTGGCCACACAGGCCAGCAGGAACCCAATCACATCCAAAGAGTGATACTGGAACCAGGTGAGGTCATGGGCTGCAGGCCGAAGGTGTTTAGCTCCTTTGTGGCGCATGACAAATTCAATCCAGAAGACTGCTCGATCCAGGGGCTTCACTGGCTGATCACGTTGAATTCTTGATAATTTCATAACATTCTCTTTATATCTGAAGGATAAAAATAAAGATACCAATGCATCAGGAAGAGACATAGACAAAACTCCTCAGACACCAAGTTAAAGAAGGAAGGGTTTTATTCAGCTGGGAGCATCAGTAAGACTCCTGTCTCAAGAGCTGAGATCCCTGAGTGAGCAATTCCTGTCCATTTTAAGGGCTCACACCTCTACAGGGGTCCATGTGAGAGGGTCATGCTCGATTGAGCAAGCAGTGGGGACATGACTGGCGGCTGCATGCACCAGTAATCAGAACGAAACAGAAGAGGACAGGGATTTTTACAACGCTTTTCCATAAAATGCTCGAATCTATAGATAACATTACCAGTTAGGTCAGGGGTCGATCTTTAATTACCCGTCCCAGAGAGTGTCACCAGGCTATCTGCCTGTGGATTTCATTTCTGCCTTTTAGTATTTACTTCTTTTTTCTTTGGAGGCAGAAATTATGCATGAGACAATATGAGGAGTGATCTCCTCCCTTACTAACACTGAAAGTAAGTTAATTTGCCTGTGCATATCAAGTTTATGAAAGGCTTTTAAAGTGTCAAATAATTCAAAGTAAATGCCAAAAAATTGACATAGAATTTGTGTACTTTAATTTGAATCATCATAGAAAGTTGGGCTTTTAAATTGAACTTTTCTCATTGACAAATGTTTTCTAAAGTAGAAATTGAATGTTAGGTAAGAAAGTTAATTTTTTTTTGAAGCAGAGAAAATATAAAGCATTTTAATTTTTTTAATTGTTTAAGTTTAAGTTTCTGTGGGTACAGATTAAGTGCATATATTTATGGGGTATATGAGTTGTTTTGATACAATGTGAAATAATCACATCAGGAAAAATAGGATATTCATTCCTTAAGCATTTATCCTTTGTATTATGAACAATTCAATTACACTGTTAGTTCTCAAGCAGACATATGGAGAATGTGCTCAACATCATGAACCATTTTAAGTGCTGTAAGAAAGATCGTGAAAATGTAATATGAGAATTATCATCTCTAAGTTCCTAAAAAGTAATTGTGTCATGGTGAGTGACATGCCTCATAGCTAGTCACTATGCTTCTACATTACTCTTTTGTCTCCTACTGTTTCCCCCCCTGTTGCCAGAATGATTTTTTTGCAATTAAAGGCAGTTTATAGCACTCCCCTGATTAAGACTTTTGCCTGGCTTCTCATTATTTAAAGAATAAAATCCAACTCTGTTATTTGGTCTACAGAACCCTACATTGTTGGACACTGGCAAGCTCTTTTCCTAACACTTTTCCCCTGCACACTGTCTTCTAGTTTGGCCTTCTTTTTTTTTCTTTAAGTTCTCAAAGGTGTTCTCGTCTTAGTGCCTTACACATTTTTTCCCTCTCTCCTGCTCTTGGAGTATTCTCTCTTGCTACAACCCAAAGTATGCTTCTCTGCATTTTTATGGCTTCCATCTAATGTTACTTCTAAGAGAGGTTTTTATTGACCACACTATGATGGAACCTGTAGGATTTTCTCTATTTTCTATGCTTATTTTGCTATTTGATTCCTAGAATTTTAAAATGCATTCTATCTCATAAAATAAACATTTAAATAGTAAATACAAAAGATAAATATATACACACTAAGTGAATAGTTCAAAAACATAAGATCATCTTGAACATTATTTTGAAGTGAAGATATCTATTTACCTACTGCACAGATTGTGTTATAGGATATCACAACCTGCCTAGAATCACACTCTTTTTCTGAACCATTTAATCACTACTTTTGACCTCCAATTAAGTATTAGCCTGACTTCAAATAGCATGCATTAGTTTTGCTTGTTTATGTAATTGAATTGTATAATATGTACTCATTACTGTCTTTTATTAAAGTAGCAGTTGTTGGATAATTCCTTTGCTGTATAGTATTTTGTTGATTGATAAAGCACAGATTTTTTCTTCATTTTAAGATTAATATGTATTTGTGTTGCTAACAATTTTTAGACACTATTGACAATTCTGTCATAAACATTCTTCTAGATGGTATTAGATTTATATATTTATACATATCTCTTGGGTATATTGTAGAATTGCTGAGATAAAATTGGATGTGTAATTGTGATACACTTCTTGACTTTTACCTTTTTTGAAGTGTATTTTTTTGATCTCTAAAATTTAAAGATATGTTATAGTTTTTATAACCTCCCTTACTTCCACTATGACTGCATCATATAGTTACTATGACATTAAAGCTTATTATATTTACTAAGTCTTGAGTTATTACCCACCACATATCACTTCAAATAACTATTTGACGTGCTCTAAGATGTTGTATCTTCCAGTTGATATATATAATACATATATGTGTATTGTATATGTACATATGTGCATTTGTGTGTATCATTCTAAATTATAAGATTCCATTTGTTATTTGTGTTCTTCAAATGTTTTATGTCTTTACCCATTATTTGCTCTTTTTTTCAGTCTGTTTAGATTGAGTGACAGTATTTGCATAACCACATTTAAATCTACCAATTTGCTTTATATATTTCTTTTCTATTTGTCCAAGTTGGTTTGTGTTTCTTTTCAAATATTTTCTATCTTCCTTAAAGGTATTTTTATCATTCATTAACCTTCTTTTTTTGTGATAAAGTAATTTTAAAATATTACTTTAGATGATACACTTCTTATTTGAAAGCATTGTTGATCGTAGTTAAAAATGCTGAATTGATGATAGCTGGACTCTGCAAGGAATTTTGCATATTGATATCTTTGGGTGTGAAAAAAATCAATTATTAAAAATTTCACTTAAAATTATATTTTTTGTGCTTCAAAGACCATCATCCAAAAGGAAAATTTAGTGCACCCAGAATGGGATAAAATTTTTAAAAAATATATATCTGACATGACCCATAATATATAAATAGTTCTTAAAACTTAATAAGAAGACAAATAGCAAAGTTTAAAAATTTCCAAAGATTGTAGTAGACATGTTTTCAAAGAAGATATATGAATGATCAGTAAACACATATAAGGATTCTCAAAGTCTTAAGCCATAATGAAAATGCAGTCTGAGACCAGGATGAGAGATCATTTTATACCCACTAAGAAGGCTGTAACAAAAAGACAGATAATAACTCATTTGGCAAATGTATGGAGGAATTGTAACTATGTTTTACTGCTGGTGGTAGTGATGAATGAAACAAGTACTTTGGAAGACAGTTTAACAGTTCTTCGTAAACATACAGTTCCTACATGAGCCAGCAATTCCACTTGTAGTATCAACCCAAAAGGAAGGAAGACAGGTTTACGCAAAAACTTGTGTAGCAATATTCCTAGTAACCACAATTGGAAACAATCAAAAGGCCAATGAACTGATAAGTTAACAACTAAAATATGACATATCCTTACTAAAAAATATTAAACTGCTCTAATAAGAAATGAAGTATTAAAAAGCACAACAACATGAATAAAACTAACACCATAAAAAATAACAAGAAATTAAGCTAGTGAAATGTCATTTACACAGCACCATAAACTGTATAATTCCATTTATATGAAATACCTAGAGAGAACAATCTCTAGAGAAAGAAAATAAATTAGGGTTAGACTAGGGCTAAGCGGTCATAGGAAATGACTTCTGTGTCATTGCAGTTTCTTTTGTGCTGACAAAAATGTTCTAAAATTATGTGATAGTGATGGCTTCATGGCTCTGTAAACTTAGCAAATATATTTGGATTTTACACCATAAACAGAAAGATTTTATGGTATCAAAATTAAATCTCATTTTCAAGTCCATTACAGTAATGATAATAATAAAAGTTAATTTTTCAGCAGGAAAATACTCATGTTCTGAGGCATTTTAGATATTGAATTAAAATATTTATTATATTATTTCATTTATTCTTCCTTTCTACTAAGGATTCATTATATCGAAATTTTAAGAAATGAATTTTTTATATTATCTATATCATTTTAAAAGTATTTTTGTGTAGAAAATTGTTTCACTAACTGGCTATTCATTAGATGTATGGTTTTCAAATACAATATATAAATAACTGATACAAAATAAAAACAGATTTCAGATTGGTTATATCATTTAAATTCTTTCAAAATTACTCTCTTATAAAAAGGATGATACTCACACTCACTATTGACAAGAGAAGCTATCTATAAATACCACCTACTGAAAAATATTATTCTACTCACAAAGGATCATTAATTACTGTCTTCAGTGCATTCGCCAAGTCTGTACTCGACATTGTGTCGAAGTCCAATTGAACAGCTGCTCCTCTGGTTTTCATGTGAGCAATGTTATCAGGTTGATCGGCAAACAGTGGAATGCCCACCATAGGGACCCCATGGTAGATTGCCTCGTAGATACCATTGGCTCCACCATGAGTTATAAAAGCTTTGGTTTTTGGATGACCTAGGATTGAAGGAATTTTAGCAAAATTATTCATAGGAATAAAATGAGATGCACAATGAAAGGCTCTGAAAGTGACAGTGTTTTCTGGATAACACATTGAACTATTTTGCTATTGCTTTCAGACTTCAGAGGAGAAAAACGTACTTGTGCTGGGTATGCAAGTGAAGGCTGCATGGTGTGTGTGACTTCAGACTGCAAAACAATACAAGAGTTCCAGTTGGACTATTGAAAAAGTGCGATCTAGATTTTTAAAATGTGCAATAAAGAAGACAGCAAAGAGATGGGCATGAAGTGAATTGCTATTTTAAGTGCAGTCACAGAGTGTGATATGTGGGGTGTGCAAGGCAGCAGGCAGTGGGTTGATGGTGTTGCTAGGATTGAGAAAGGACAGGTCACACTTCATCATGACCTGTCATCACTTTGTGATTAAGATTAGCAATTTAATCCTTCAGAAAATGCAGAGTCATTGATGATAGAAGAGCTATTATTTTAGGTGGCATTTGAAATAACCCTGCAGGAGAGGAAACAACAGGTGTAAAGTTGTAGAAATAGGACACAGAGACAGCTCAGGAAGTTATTGAAAAATTCTGTGAGATATAGTAATACCAGAAATAAAGATTCTTGCTGATTCTGACCATAAAGAATGTGAGTGTATATCATAAAATGCCAATAATTAGAACATATTCTTTTTCCCTTTGGACTGGTAAATAAATATAAAGAAGTTACATTTTGTTTTTCCTTAACAAACATTGAAAAAGCTTGTTTCATGATTAACTATTAACACTCTAATGTGCTGTTACTAATATATCCAGTATTTGTTCACCCGAGTCTTACCTAGAAGGTCATTCTGGGGTATCCACTTATAGAGCCGAGTATTGACACCTAAGGTATCTGGTTTATTCCCATCAAATCTCCACAGAACCTGTTACAGTAAAGAAAATATCTTATTCCATGAGTGGAATTCAAAACTTATAGAATGTTCAAACTTTAAAAAGAGAAAAAGAGTAGGAATGAGATCAAGGGATGTTAGTAAATCAGAACTACTCAAAGACTGATGTAAATAGAATACTCACTTTTAATTTTGGCCAACTTCACATTTGTCAGAAGTTTCTATAATTGGATTACTTACAAACTTTAGCAGCCTCTTTCAGTAGTTTTCCACACCAATAAGACACTTCATCTTACCTTTTGTGGAATCTGGGCAAGGGCTGATGCAATTACGTTGGCCCTTTCTTCTTTCATGTTAGTGATCATTGACCCCAGAGTAAACACCACAACACCGTTTTCTCCAGAGCTCTGTACAAATTCTTCCATTTCCTGTGAAAAAGAATTTGTTTCATCACAAAAGAATAACAGCAAAGCAGGCACTACTGAAAGAATTGGTACAAGTTACTAAAGAGAGAAAATCAGGTATTTTAAGGAATTATTGGAGTAAATAATATTTTCTAACTGACTCAATCACTCAGGTGTTTTGCAATTAGATAGATAATGTGAGATAGGTGGACGCTGTTAGGATATTTGTGTAACTATGTGTGTATGTTATGTATTTGTGTGCATGTGTGTAAGGGAGAAAAGAAATGGAGCTATTACACTGTAGTCAGGGAGATAATGTTAAAAATATTACACACAGACTCTTCTCTTATAATACTAAAATTACTAATATACGTTCTTGGAAAGTGGCACCACTCAGCTTTAATTCTACATTGTTGTTCTACTAAATCACTTATGTTAATTTCAGGCAGGTTTTCTGTAGGATTCTTTTAGTAGGAAGCCATTAGTGTTTACTTCCCTCGCTATGAGCTCTGAGGATTAGCTGCTCACTGTTGGGATAATTTTATATCTACATTTATGTTTCTCTACAGTGCTTTTTACTTCACTTAAAGTTTGTCAGAGTTTTGGGTAGCTTTTGAAAAGCTAAAATAAATAAATAAATAATAAAAGCTGATGGTTAAGAACCACTGACATTCTGGAGTTGGGTATTGTAATTTGGAATTTCCGTGAATTAGTCCAGGAATCTTATTTACAATACAGAATTGTACACTATACAGTTACATAGTTGAATGATCATATTTTCAGGTTATTGTTTAGGTGGAGCACCTATTGACCTGAAATCACACTGTTAAACTGATGTGTTATTTATAACTGCATGTGAGTAACTCTCATCATCACTTTGTTGTATTTCAGAGGCAGCATTTGCATCAGAATAGAAGAGGCCACCAGGTCTTTCTGCAGGGGAGGTCTTGTCTCTCTTTTGAGTAGCTCACTCACACTACATCACACTCCTCATGAAGATGTGCTTGGCTGCAATCGATTGAGAATTATTCTGACTTGCGTTCTCCAATGTAAGCCAATATTTAAACTTAAATACTTTCAGATTTAATCATTGTGGTAAAACTTTTCCTAACGGTTCTTAATAAAACAAAGAAAAAAGTCCAAATGTTAACTGTGTAGACCACATATTACTGAGTGTTTTTAAAATATGATTTTTAATCTTAAGGTAAGAGTCATTGTACTTGGGGCATCTAGGTATTGTGTGTGATTGCAGTTTACTGTAGTCATATTTACTGTAACTGGTGTTCAGTGTTTCACCTCATTAGCTTGATGCCAAGAGCCCTGCTTACCCATGCAGTGTTGAAGGAACCTAACCTCTGTTTACAGATTCATCACGGATATGGACTGGTTGTTTCTTCTTCTGTGATAATGTAATAAAAATAACATAAGATTAATGTCAGAAATTTTATAAAAGCATGAAAAATTTTTTTAAATAAAATTTTTCTAAAATTTTTGTTGTGATCTTATTTATATAAAATATATTTTTTCATCATGGCTTTTGTCCTATTTATATAGCTCAATGTACACATGTGACACTTAGAAAATGTTAATCTTGCTGAGTATATATTTTCCTCCTGCAAAAACTTGTCATCTTGTTACCTTTATCATTTTCTAACTCTCTTTATTTGTATTACAGCTGACAGTGTAATTGAATATTCCATTGATAATATTATTGTAATGCTATTGTATGCATATAGTATAAGTTTTTAATCATTCCTTCATTTAAGATGTTGGACTACTTCCAATGTTAATTTTATGCATATTTTCCATAATGTTGAATAGATGCACCTTGATTAATTTTTTATCTGTATGATTTCACATGAATATATTATAAAACTCATGGCAATGTTCACTTTTAAAACACCTGGTACATTTTGTCAAGTGTCTTATTCTCTTATATAGAAATTATCTGAGAATCTATTATTTAATTGAAATGTAAGCAACCTGACTGGGTTAGCAATTATTTTACATAATAAACAAGGAATTGGTTTCACAACCATTGACTTGCATTCAAATCTTTCTGCAAGTTAATCACAACAGCTAATAGTAGTAATTATCATTATTATACTACTAGTCATTCTTTTTCTTGTCCTTCTACAAGTCCCACTCTCTTCCCCTTCCTACTGACACTACCAGTTTCCCTTATTGTGAGGGGGGAAATCTTTCAAGAGTAGGGCAGGGTGGCATAGGTTTTCATTAGTCTTACCCAGTTTTTGTCTCTTGAGAAAGTTATCATATAGAGCACGTGCAATTTGCATTCATCATAGATGTTGAGTTTTAAAAATGGAATAAAAACTCAGCTTTATGTGCACAAAAATTATATTTTAAGAGATGACTTAATAATGTGATAAAGAATGCTTGCTTTGTACATATGTCTTAAAAGTGTGATATTAATTTAAACTATATGGGTTTATTGTGTTCTTTCATAAAGAATATAATCTTATATGCTGACAGAATTTTTTTGGTACTGAAACTAAGAACACTATTCAGATACAAGTGGTATAAATTATTTGGTTTTTATTATACATGCCTTGTTCATTATCTCTGTGCTTCTCTGTCAGGCAGCTATGCTGTTAAGACAAGTTGACACAGGAAGTTTTAATCAGTTGCTTGTCATATGGCAAAAATCATGCGCTTTCATAGGATACGTTTATGCTGTAATATGTAAACCCCTGGGGTCTCAATGAAGAATGATTTAAATGCTTTAGTAATATCAAGTGATCACTGAGTTTGTCTGCAAATATTAAAGGAACATATTTATTTTATTGAGGAAGTGTTTTAAGCTGCAATACTGGTGAAGATCCTCATTACCTATGGGAAAATTTTAGAATTTCAACTAGCTCATTGTTGTGGGAAGTCAGGGACCCCATAAAAGAAGTGAAAATGGCAGGTCCTTGCCTTAAGCGATGATATTATCCTGTGAAATTCCTTTTCCTAGCTCATCCTGGCTCAAAAATCTCCCCCACTGAGCACCTTGTGACCCCCACTCCTGCCTCCCAGAGAACAACCCCCCTTTGACTGTAATTTTCCTTTACCTCCCCAAATCCTATAAAACAGCCCCACCCTTATCTCCCTTAGCTGACTCGCTTTTCGGACTCAGCCTGCCTGCACCCAGGTGAAATGAACAGCCATGTTGCTCACACAAAGACTGTTTAGTGTTCTCTTCACACAGACGCGCATGACACAGGTGTCTGTCAACTATGACTTTGCAAGAGAATATAATTCTGATGTACTGAAAAATCTGGCTCTATTAAATGAAGAATGATATCTCAAGTGACCTGCACATGTTAAGTAATTAGTAGTATTAGCAGTAATAACAAAATAACAATAATTGCAAAATTAATAATATTTATGAGTAACTAACTACAGGCCAGAGACACTTCAAGTGTTTTTTCTGTGTTAATATTTTTTCCACACAACAGGAAGTTGCCACTATTTTTGTAAATGTAGGCATCATTATTTCTATCAACATTCTGTCTACTTTTCCATCATCTGCTACCTGAATCCATGCAAAATTTCCCGAATGGTTGGCTCTTTATTCTGACCCTCCTGCAATTTAATCATTGAATATCTTGAAAGCTTTTCTTAAAGAAGAGAATCTTTTCTATATCTTTCTGTCTTAACTCTTTTTCATAGTTTTTCAATGTGCTGAATAAATATTTCAACTCCCAATATGTATCTGGCTCTAATTTGCCTCTCAGCATCATCTGATTCTTAGTCTCTTCCTGCAAACTAAACCTGAGGACTTGAGACCTGTCCCGACCACTTTACCTGCTTCTTTCCTTCTTTTGTCTGTCTCTCTCCATCATTCTTTTACTTATTCTTGCATATTGTTCAGCTCTCATCTTAGTAATCAGTGATTCCAGGATATTTTTTATTATCTCCACTGATGCTTTCTTGACATTGGGTTTTTCCTTGAGATAATAATTTTTATATAATTTTTATTACTTGCACATATTCTATCTTTTGAAGTAGAATGTAAGGTATGTGGGGACAGAAACTGTCCTTTTTTTTTCTCTGAAAATTCTGCACTTACCTGTGTTTTGTGCTAATCCCTTTGTAAATATTATTTGAACGAATGATCAATACCTTCTTAGGTGTTAAATAATGAAGACTTTAATTTAACCAACTCTATTTTTGAAGTCTCCTTAGTATTCCCCTCTATTTGTAGTACTCATAAAACTCATATACGTGTGATGGTATCAATATGTACATGACTTTCTAATTGGTATCTGCTTTACCCCACCCACTTCCCATCTTTCTTTCAGTGTAAGTCAACCACTCTGAATGAAGACCGTAGAATCAATTCTACTGAAAATTCAAAGCCAACAAAATAAAACCAATGAAAGTATGTTTACCTTAGGTAGGGGTTTGGCAGGTTTGCAGAGGAGTCCTCCAATAAAATCAACATTTGGTAAGAGTGGATGTGGAAACTGAAAATTCCAGGAGTTTCGAATAAGCCATATGTCAGCTTTCCCCATTATCTCAGATAATGTAGTGTGTCTTCCTGACAATGATAAAAAAAGAAAATGTGGATGACACAGGATAATTACATTAGGTTATTTTCTGAAAATGTTTAGAATAATGTAGGCAAAAATATAGGCAATGTGTCTGTGCTTTGAAAAATATATACATATATTCATCTATAGGCATAATTTTATTTTATGTATTATTTATTTTGCCCATGTATATTTATAAGAAAGGCAAAGTAGTGGGAGAATTGTGAGGTTAAGCTACATCTCTAATGTCACATCAGTATACTCATAATCACAAACAATTATTAAAATAAGTCATAGAAAATTAAACATCAATTTATTTTCTTTTTAAAGCTTCAATAGTAGCATATGGACATTTAAACAACTCTTTGAGGTCCATAGTCAATTAATTCCACTGTACACATAAAAATAATTTTCTAAAATTTGACTAGTTTACACAACTCATTAAGCTAATTTTTTATCTTTGGTTCTTCAAGTGAACTGTGGACTATGTTGTGAGTATGGTTGAAATCCTTGTACTCTTTTAGATTCATGATAAGATCTTAATAATATTATCTTTAAGTAAATATATTTGTAAATTATAGCTAGAAATTTTTGAGAAAATATTGAAATAAAGATTTGTACTCAACCTTAATCTGTCTTATATTTTTTAATAAGGAGACATAGTTTGGAAAAAAACTATGTAGATATAACAACCTTCACACTTCAACAAGATGATTGGACTTTGAATGGTTTCCAATTCTTTAATGAAAGAGTATAGAAACATTAGAAACTTCAAATTACCTTTAATGATTTATGCATCTGAGATATAGATATTCCCTCTCTCTATTGTGAAGGAAACCTTCAGGTAACATGGGAAGATCTTTTGATTTCTAAATAAGAAAACCAAACTTTATGAGAAAAAATAATTTCTACAGTTATATAGATAGTTGTAGAAAAATGTATAACTATTCATTCTAAATCTATGCATTCAGTAAGATGTTATTTGATGGGTTTTACTGTTTTTAAGATGTAAAACACTGTATAGTAAAACAGATGTGTAATTGCTTAAAGTCTTAGAGGCACTAATACATAGGTTTATGATTTCCTGGGGTGTTCTGTGTGAATCATGGCCACAGGGTTTTAACTGACTCTGTAATTTAAACTTTTCTATGATATTTGTGAGATTGATAGATCATCTTGTATTTTCATTTTATAAATTCACTTACCAAAACCCCACTACCCTGACTTTATGGCTTTATATAAATTCTGCTTCAGAGATACAAATAATTTACAGATTGAAAAAAAATACTTACCTAGAACTTCACTATAAAACTGATCCCACTTCTTCATGTCATATATTTGGAAACAAAAGTCAAAATAAAGCATATAGATCATATTTTTTACCCTCTCCATGAAAGTCATTTGATCACTTAATTCTGACATAACAACAGGTACGTAGGAGGGAGGGAAAAGAAATCCTCCACAATGCTTTTCAAAAACATAGCCAGGAGTGAAGCGGAGACTGTACACAAGTGGTATGTTAAATAGCTCAGCCAGCAGCTCACTACAGGGAAAAATAGGATCTGCAAAAACGACGTCAAATCTTGACTCTTGTAGTTTCTTCATTAATTTC